GCAAATTGTTCCACTGATTAATTGTTCTAATTGTCAGGAAATTTCTCCTCTGTTCTAAGTTGCTTCTCTCCTTGATTAGTTTTCACCCATTGCTTCTTGTTCTCAGGTGCTTTGGAGAATAGCTTGACTCCCTCTTCTTTGTGGCAACTCCTGAGATATTGGAACACTGCTATCATGTCTCCCCTAGTCCTTCTTTTCATTAAACTAGACATACCCAGTTCCTATAACCGTTCCTCATATGTTTTAGCTTCCAGTCCCCTAATCATCTTTGTTGCTCTTCTTTGCACTCTTTCTAGAGTTTCCACAACTTTTTTACATCATAGCGACCAGAACTGAATGCAATATTCCAAGTGTGGCCTTACCAAGGCATTATAAAGTGGTATCAACACTTCACATGATCTTGATTCTATCCCTCTATTTATGCAGCCTAGAACTGTGTTGGCTTTTTTTGGCAGTGACTGCACACTACTGGGTCATATTTAAATGGTTGTCTGCTAGGATTCCAAGATCCCTCTCACAGTTACTACTATTGAGCAAGGTACCACCTATACTGTACTTAACATTTAGTTTTTCTTACGTATTATCTCTCTTATTCTTCTGATGTTGCCCCCAACATCGGAAGAATAAAGGATAAGCTTTCTGTTTCTCTCTTAGCTTGAAACTTCAACTTCTTCTTCTAGTCTATCCACTTCTTTTTCTTCCTCCTTTGGCAGTCTATTGCTTCTACACCTATTTCTGGTCCTCCCTCCCTTTCTACCTATATATTTATGGATGTCCCCTGGAGATACCTTGCTTCCACAGCGCCATAGTTTTCATACTCTTTCCCAAATTCTCCAATTGGGAATTCTCTTTTAACTACTGAAGGCCACCTTCTTTCCTTTCTCTTCTGGAGGTCCTTGATTCTTTTTTTAGGCTTCTCACTCTCTCAATATAAGAGTATTTCTGTAGCTCAGGATTGAAGTCTTGAATCCCTTGTTCTTTCAACTTGGTTATTTGCTTGTAGATGTTTCATTATCAAACGTCAAACACACTGATGATTTTACCTAGTTGGATTATGAAACATCCACAAGCAAACAACCAAGCTTAGAAAATACCTAGGACTCCACAATTCTTGCACTATCTTCTTCACAATCTATTGAGCCCTATTATTTCCTTATATTTGCAATAATCTTGTTACCTC